TGCTGCAAGCCCTGTTGCTGCAGGCCCTGCCTCAAGCCCTGCTGTGAGCCCTTCTGCCTCAACCTGTGCTGCCAGCCAGCTTGCTCTGGACCTGTGACCTGCACCAGGACTTGCTACCAGCCCACGTGTGTCTGTGTGCCTGGCTGCCTGTCCCAAGGCTGTGGGTCCAGCTGCTGCGAGCCCTGTGGCTGTTGATCAACTTACCACAGACCCCCATATCTACATAAAATAGCCTTCTACCATCAAATCTGCCTGATGACCATACAATGCCAAACTCGGTGCTCTTTCTCTGAAAATAAGCCTTACGCTGTCTAAAAATATCTCATTAGCAGATTTGTGTGTTTTCTCAGTTTTCTTATCTATTGTGTTCCTCCTCATCCCTTTGGTTCTTTGTCAAAGGCATCTGCGATTGACCTGGATTCACAGTTCCAACCTTGGAAAATTTGCTTACCTCATTTTCAACTTATAGAAGGTTTATAAAATCAAAAGAAGAAAAGAAAGCACTCCGATTTTCCCCCGCGTTAGTCACCATTCCATTTCCATGTGTTTATAATTACTGTGACTCACCTTGTAACTCATTCATAAAAACTTTGCGTCATCTGGCTATTTGGAAGGCTATTATCTATGGTTTACTAATAAAGTCCTCACTTGATTATCTCCTAAATTGTGTTTTGTTTTGTTTCTGTGTTTTGCTTGGCATATTCTGTGCCGTCATCTGAGCCGCATCATCGTCTCAGACTTGGGCAGAGACAGCACGCAGGATGTGAGCTGTGTCAGGTCACATAGCTGAGGGTAGAAAACATCCTCCCAGAGACCTGGTGTGATAACGGGAACAACTTAATGAAATAGAGACACTGGGACTGAACACTAGAAAGCTGAGCATCTCACGATGCTCTCTGCCATTTACCAATCACCTTGGTAACCAGTAACCACAGAGCAAAAGAGCTGATTTTAGGAGCCTAGAAAGTCATGTAAATCTTGTATTGCCTTGCCTTAAAAAAGGCCCCTGGTGATGACTTCTAAATATTTTTTTCCAACCACAGTGTACTTGCTACTGTCTTGGGATTTTGAAAGCTTTTTTTTTTTTTTTTTTGACAGTCTGTGTGTTGGGGGAGGGGGTTGTCAGAGGACAAGCTGTGGGAGTCATTTCTCTCCTTCACCATGTGGGTCCTGGGGATCAAACTCAGGCAGGGGGGCAGCTACCTTGCTTCATGGGTCATCTCAGGATGTTGATGTGAGAGGACCATCTAGAAAATGTTGATCTTGTAGAACTGGTAGTTTTGGCCCTTATTCTTCTGATTACCTGTACAAATAGCCACACTGGGCAGGGTGGGGGGGCAGTTGATTTATGATAACACTGGTAAGAAAAAAGTAAAATTTTTAATATTCTGTGTGGAAAGGTGCAGTAATCTATGGATTCCCAGAGAAGTTCTGCAAGCCAAGATAAAAAGTACTTGGAGTAGATATCTAGTGCCCATAATCTACCAAAATGCAGCCCAGGTGTACTAAAGACTTAAAATTGACTTTAAAACTTTGAAACTCTTGTAACAAATATAGATAAACATCTCTTAGATCTTGAAAAAGGGTGAGCCTTTATCACCAGAGAAAACAGCCAAATTTGACTGCTCACACGTAGAGCTTGCAGTCATCAGAGACTGTTTTCTGCAGCAACAGAAAATGAAACAACAAAAAACAAGTCACAAACTTGATGATGTTTGAGAAACACAGAAATAAACATACATGACAAAATGTATAAAGAAATAATTAATCTGGATAGAACTCAGGAAAGTGCAAATGAAGACTAAAGTGAGGCCTCTTCTTATATCAATATTAATGGATGAAAATAATCCTGTTTCACATTTGGAAAAACAGGATTTTAAAACTATGGAGTCAATAATTGATAAAAGTAGAGAACATCTCTATCCCCTCTCAAGCCTATGCTCTGCATTGCTGCAATACAATCTTGGAAGGGATGCTAGTGATTCTTTCAGAATTGAGGGAAGCCAAGGAAGCCTTGAGTGAGTGCATCAAGAGTGAGTAAAGTCCTGGGTGGATGTGCATTGTTGACATGGACACAGTGATGTCAAGGATCCAATGCCTCAGACCCACAGGAAACTGGCAAAGCCCTCCCTGTCACCCCACCCAGGGTTCAGACTCCCTCTGTGCTGTGCATAAAAAACACGATGAGGCTCTGAGTTGTGTATTTGGTACCCTCCATCAGAGCAAGCACAGGCCATTGGATCCCATCTTCACTGTATCTGTGTCTGTTATTTCTTTATTCCCTCGCACCCCAGCCAGGTCAAGTCCCAAGGCACATAGAACATGGCACAGAATGTTTGGCGTCCTTGTTGTTTGGCCCTATCAAGCATCTTGGGCAGCTCTTAACACATAATATTCAATACATGTAGTCAGCCCTCTGTCAGTGGCTTCACAATCAATAGATCCAATTCACCCCAGACTAACATATTCAAAAAACAAATGCAACTAAACTGAATATATTATTCTATGAGCAACACAGTGAGACAATTAACACAAATCACATTTACATTCTACAAGATACTGGGGCTGATGAGGTCAACTCAGTAGTGGAGAACTTGTCTAGCATGTGTGAGATCCTAGTTTGGTGCCCAGCAATGCAAAAACAAGCAAACATCCATTTGACCCAATTATTGTAAGTAACCAAACAATAACTCAAGTAACATTTGCAAAAGAATGTGCATGTATTAAATGTAAATATGCTGGTAGTCTGTACAAAGAGTTTGATATCACAAAGATTTTTATATCATCAAGACATCCTTAAACCTATTCCCTATGATATTAAGGGACTCCCATATTTTGTTGAAACCAAGGTTGGATAAAGCACAGGCACAAATAGCCAAACAAATGGAAACACGTGAACTATGAACCAAAGGCTGAGGGGCCCCCAACTGGATCAGGCCCTCTGAATAGGTGAGACAGTTGATTGGCTTGATCTGTTTGGGAGGCATCTAGGCAGTGGTACCAGGTCCTGGGCTCGCTGCATGAGATAGCTGTTTGAAACCTGGGACTTATACAGGGATGCTTGGCTCAATCTGGGAGGAGGGGATTGGACCTGCCTGGACTGAGTCTATCAGGTCGATCTCAGTCCTCGGGGGTGGCCTTGATCTGGAGGTGGTGGGAATGGGGGGTCGACTGGGGGGAAGGGGAGGGGGGCAGGAAGTGGGAGAACAAGGGAATCTGTGACTGTTATGTAGAACTGAATAGTATTGTAAAATAAAATAAAAAAATGATATCTACAAACTGGAAAAAAAGAAAATAAATGAATAAATGAAATTTCGTGAGGTATACAAGAAATATCAGCCTTCTACTATCCAAAGTGCACTATGTTTGAACCAAAGATCATGAAATAAATCTAGGTTTAAAATGGAGACCAGCATAATGACAACACCAGTTGACATGCCAACATAAATTGGAGAAATCTCACAAGGCCCCACCTCCTAAACAAAGAACAATGAACAATTCACAGTTGCTGGGAGGAGGTTCATTCTTCACTAGGGACCCCTAATAGGTTATCCAATCCCAGTGACCAGCCCTAAACACATATACATAAAAGCAACACTCAATGGATTAAGCAGGTCACATTTAAATATTTGCATATGTATAACATATATCATATATGATATATCTATACCCATATATATCAAAAAGGCTATAATTTTGAGAGTGAGGAGGCATGGGAGAGATTAGAGGGAGGGAACATGGGAGAGGCTAGAGGGAAGAAAGGAAAGGCGGTGAGTGATATAATTACATTTTTATTGAAAATGTAAGAAATAATAATTTGATATTAGATGGAAATTTTAAAAAATAAAGATGGAGGCACTGTTAACAAAGGCCAGCTTTGCCCAACCTCAAGACACAGTCTCTTGAATTCTCTTCTCCCATTATTGTTGCTACCCTAATTTCTTATCCTCTAAAATAGAGAAAGTTAAACTCTAGAGGTGTGAATGTTACTACCAGTGACACAGTCAACAACAATTATAAATCTATAAAAATCTAAAAGTACTTATCAGTTCATTGGAGACCTTCAGGATGGTAAAGAATTTTGAGGGAATATCTGAGAAAGAAAGAATATTAAAGGAGTTTGGTTGGTTTTTGCATCCTCTTTCCTCTCTGGATGTGATGGTTTGAAAGAAAATGGTCCCCAAAGGGTGTGGCACTATTAGGAGGTATGGCCTTAGTAGAGTAGGTGTGGTCTTGTTGGAGGAAGTGTGTTACAGTGGAGGCAGGATTTGAGGTCTCATACATGCTCAAGCCATGCCCAATGTTTCAGTTCTTAGTATCTCTTCACTGTAATAGAAAACCTAACTAAGACACTGAATTAGTACAGTAAGAGAGATTTCCATGAGATCGCTTGATTGGCAGTAATGCTGAAAAAGAAGATGAGTGGGGAAAGGCTGCTTTACTTCAAGGCTTTGAAGCAATTGTGTTTGCAAATGACCACCATCCTTTACTACATACAAACCAATTGCAGGTTTATCATGTTTATCATTGCACTTAAAACCAATCCCCCATTAGTAAACACCGATTTGTGTTTATCATGGAACTATCACAACAGCTGAGTCATGGAATTAGCCTCAGTGTCCATCAAGAAACAAATAGAAGAAGAAAGTTTCTGCATGCATGTGTGTGTACCTATATACCTGCATTGTGCATGCCTGCATACCCACATGTGTGCATACCTGCTTGTGTGCATATTATTTAGCCAGAAGGAAGAATGATGCATTTTATTTGTGAAATAAGCCATACTCAAAAAGATGAATACTGTATCTTTTCTCACATATATGCAATCTAGATTTCTTTTAAAAGACATGGAAGTGGAAAGGGGCTACTTGGAAAGTGAAGGGGACCAGCAGGAGAGGAGAAAAGAGAGCAAAAAGTATAATGGGAGGGGGAAGATAAGGTCAAAGTACACAGCACACATGTGTTAAAATGTCATAATGAAATCCATTATTTTGTACAAGTACCACAGGTTAATTAATTAAATTAAACAACAATGCAATGACACTTCTTACATGTAATGTAGGGTGGTATCAGCATGATTTTAGAACAATCACCAGTACACATAAGGAACAGAAAGCACTATAAAAACAATATCGTAGAGAAAATGACTGGGTGTCATTTTCATCACTAAGAGAAGAACAAGGCAAGTCATTGTACAGGAAATGGCACTGGTAACGCAAACAATAAAGACTCATACTAAGAAAGTATAAAGATCTGTAATAAGTAAGTTAAAAGAGAGAAAATTTGACAGAAACACTTCAAACATGTTCTGCATTTCATGAAAGGGAAATGCAAATATTCTGTGTGCATACAAAAAGCCAACTCATTGGTTCTCAGGTAAATTCAAATTAAATCTATAATGAGGTAGTACTAAATAGACACATGAACAAAATGGAAAAAAATACAGTGAAGATACCAGGTCCAGATGAGACACAAGGCAATTAGAATAATGACTTGTGTGCACTACTATATCTTTTAATGGTATTTTTAAAAATATTTTTTCTTTGCTTTATATCTAGTATCCACTTATAAATGAGTACATACCATGTTTGTCCTTCTGAGTCTGGGTTACCACACTCAGGATGATATTTTCTAGTTCCATCCATTTGTCTGCAAACCTCATGATGTCAATGTTTTTCTCTGCTGAGTAGTACTCCACTGTGTATATGTACCACATTTTCTTTATTCATTCTTCAGTTGAGGAGCATCTAGGTTGTTTTCAAGTTCTGGCTATTTACAAATAATGCTGCTATGAACATAGCTGAGCATGTGTCCTTGTGGTATGATCGAGCATTCCTTGGGTATATGCCCAAGAGCAGTATAGCTGGGTCTATCAATCAGAAGATTGATTCCCAATTTTCTGAGAAACCACCATACTGATTTCCAAAGTGGCTGTACAAGTTTGCATTCCCACCAACAATGGAGGAGTGTTCCCCTTGCTCCACATCCTCTCCAACATAAGCTGTCTTCCATGTTTCTGATCTTAGCCATTCTGACAGGTGTAAGATGGTATCTCAGAGTTGTTCTGATTTGCATTTCCCTGATGACTAAGGATGTTGAGCAATTCCTTAAATGTCTTTCAGTCATTTGAGATTCTTCTGTTGAGTATTCCCTTTTAGCTCTATGGCCCATTTTTAAATTGAACTGTTAGGTATTTTGATGTCTAGTTTCTTGAGTTCTTTATATATTCTGGAGATAGCCCTCTGTCAGATGTGAGGTTGGTGAAGACCTTTTCCCATTCTGTAGGCTGTTGTTTTGTCTTATTGACCATGTCCTTTGCCCTACAAAAGCTTCTCAGGTTCAAGAGGTCCCATTTATTAATTGTTGCTCTCAATGTCTGTGCTACTGGTGTTATATTTAGGAAGTGACCTCTGGTGCCAATGGTACTCACTCATAGGTGGATGCTAGATATAAAGCAAAGGATAACTAGACTACAACCCACAGCTCCAGGGAGGCTAGCTAGTAAGGAAGACCCTAGGAAGGATGCATAGATTACCCAACAATGGAGAAATGGATGAGACGAACATGAGCAAACTGGGGGTCAGGGGGTAATGGAGAGCAAGGGATGGGGGATGAGAGCTTAGAGGAGTGGGAGGTTTGAGCTGGAATGGGAACAGGGTGGGAGAACAAGGAAAGAGATACCATTATAGATGAAAATACCATGGAAATAGGGAGAAGCAGAGTGTTAAGGAGGTTCCCAGGAATCCACAAGGGTGATTCCACCATAGACTACTTGCAATAATCAAGAGGGTGCCTGAGCTGGCCTACTCTGGTGATTGGATGGCTGAATACCCTGTCATCATACAACCCTCACCCAGTGACTGAAGGAAGCAGATACAGAAATCCACAGCTAGGTCCCAGGCAGAGCTCCAGGATTCCAATTGATGAGAGAGAGGAGGGATTCTATGAGCAAGAGATATTGAGACCATGATTGGAAAAAGTACAGAGACAACTAGCCAAACTAGTGGAAACACATGAACTGTGGACCAATAGCTGAGGAGCCTCCATGGTACTGGACTAGACCCTCTGGATAAGCAAGACAGTTGTTTAGCTTGAACTGTATAGGGGGCCCACAGGCAGTGGGATCAGGACCTGTCCCTAGTGCATGAGCCATCTTTTTGGAGCCTAGTGCCTCTAGTGAGACTTTGTGCAGCCTTGGTGCAGGGAGGAGGGGCTTGGACCTGCCTCAATTGAATGTACCAGGCTCTGCTGACTCCCCATGGGAGACCTTACCTTGGAGGAGGTGGGAATTGGGGGGGGGTGGGGGGGAATGCTGGGGGAGGGAGGATGGGGGAATCTGTGGTTGATATGTAAAATGAATAGAAAATCTCTTAATAATAAAAAAGAAAAAAGAAAAGGAAAAAATTTTCTTTTTTTGGGGGGGAATTTCGTGTATGAATACAATGAAATATGATCATATCATCCCCTTATTTCCCTACTCCAACTTTCCCCAATTTCTCCCAACTTAGACCCCTTCCAACTTCAGGTTCTTTTATTTATTAATTTATTTATTTTTATTTTTGACAACCCACTAAGTCCAGTTAATTTTATCATATGGGCATGGGAGTAAATCCATCCACTAGACCATGGGAAATCTACCAGTGGCCATGCATTCAAAACAGAATGACCTCCACACACACAGCGCGCACATGCAAGCACACACACACACACACACACACACACACACACACACACACACACGAGCAGCTATCAACTACCAGTAGTTCCTCAGGAAGAGATGGGGTCCAAGAAGCCCCTCCCAATCTTTGATGGAAATTTGGTTGTTTGTTGATGTGCAGATCATGTGCAGGTAGTCACAGTTGACCTGAGTTCCTGAGTGTTTATAGCCACATCAAGTCCAGAAGTTTGCTTCTTACGGCTTCCTTCCCTGTCCTCCAGATCCTTCCCACCTCCTCGTCTCCTGTGTTCCTGAAGTCTTGGTAATGGGCTGGGCATGTTACAAATTAGCTCTTAAGATTTTTAAATCTTAACTTTTAAAAGAACATTTGAAACGACCTACTAAGGTTGTAGTCCAAACTATAGTCTGAAAACTTCACTCAAGAACATATGAAAAAATATTCACTGGAAGATGTGGGCAAACACAGCCACGAGAACATAATTCACACTAGTTTAAATGATGGAAATATGTCCATCAGCAATGAAGCACATTAATACAGTTTGCTCCCATCCTTCGATAATATCAACAGAAATGAACAAATGACCACTGTAGGCAATGGAGTCTATAAAACTCACAAACAAATCTGAGCGAAAGGAAACAATACATGCTAAATGATTTCACTTTTAACTAAGATTTAAAAATTGACAAACTGACTTATACACGAGTTGCCTTAGGAAGAGGGGCAGGGATAATCCCATGATGACAGCCACCAGTTATACCACTATTTCCTGACATGGATGCTGGACACACTGTCTTCATCATATTCAGTCAAGTTGCATATAAAAAAGTACATGCATTGGAAAAAGCACAGGGACAAATAGCCAAACAAATGGAAACACATGAACTATTAACCAATAGCTGAGTCCCCAACTGGATCAGGCCCCTGGATAAGTGAGACAGTTGATTAGCTTGATCTGTTTGGGAGGCATCCAGGCAGTGGGACCTGTCCTTAGTGCATGTGCTGACTGTTTGGAACCTGGGGCTTATACAGGGACACTTGGCTCAGCCTGGGAGGAGGGGACTGGACCTGCCTGGACTGAATCTACCAAGTTGAACTCAATCCTCAGGGGAGTCTTTGCCAAGGAGGAGATGGGAATGGGGGGTGGGCTGGGGGTTGGTGGGACAGGGGAGAACAAGGGAATCTGTGGCTGATATGTAAAATTAAATTAAATTATAAAATAAAAAAGTACATGTATTTTTCTGATACTATGTTATGCTTCAGTTTCTTTGAAAGGTATATGGTTTCATCTCACAGAATTTAATTCCCTTAATTTATGAAGACAATGTGCTGATTGGGCTGTCCGACCTGAGTTTATTGGTCCTGCTGCTAAAAAGGATGAAGATCTAAATTGATGGATATCTTCTAGATCCTTGTGTAATCTTACAGCCTCTATGGACCCACATTAGGGTTTATTTGTGTATGAAAAAGACTGTGGCCACCACCCTCTGCCCATGTCTCCTTTGATAAAGCTGATGAAAGCCAGAAAGCGTCTGCTGCCTGTTGTAGTCTGGAATAAGCAGGCTTTTCTGAGGAACAGACTTGGATCCAGACATGGATTCAGTTTGTCACTGTGGACATATCACTATCATAGCCTTTCCCCAATCTGCATACAGTCAAAGGTACAAGATGAAGGAAAACTTTGACCCTGTGGTCACAACAGTCATCACATGACCAGAGCAGGGAGGATGCTGATGAGTGTCTACACAGGCTCTCCACAATTAGTTATTTAAAGTGAACTTCAAAGATTTGTAATATAGCAAACAACTTCCTCCTTAGAGCATTTCCCCGTGAGCCTTGGAAACAAACAACAACCAGAAGGAAAAGTCCTGCTCTGCCCGGGGTATAAAAGCCCCAGGACTGAAATGGTGGTCACAATCTCAGAAACACCTCCATCCACATCCAACACCATGACCAACTCCTGCTGCTCCCCTTGCTGCCAGCCCACCTGCTGCAGGACCACCTGCTGCAGGACCACCTGCTGGACACCCAGCTGTGTGAGCAGCTGCTGCCAGCCCTGCTGCCAGCCCAGCTGCTGTGGCTCCAGCTGCTGCCAGCCCTGCTGCCAGCCCACCTGCTGTAGGACCTGCTTCCAGCCAAGCTGTGTGAGCAGCTGCTGCCGCACACCCTGCTGCCAGCCCTGCTGCTGTGTGTCCAGCTGCTGCCAGCCTTGCTGCCAGCCCAGCTGCTGTGAGTCCAGCTGCTGCCAGCCCAGGTGCTGTATCTCCAGCTGCTGCCAGCCCTGCTGTAAGCCCTGTTGCTGCAGGCCCTGCCTAAAGCCCTGCTGTGAGCCCTTCTGCCTCAACCTGTGCTGCCAGCCAGCTTGCTCTGGACCTGTGACCTGCACCAGGACTTGCTACCAGCCCACATGTGTCTGTGTGCCTGGCTGCCTGTCCCAGGGCTGTGGGTCCAGCTGCTGCGAGCCCTGTGGCTGTTGATCAGCTTACCACAGACTCACTAGCAGCAGACTGCAAGATAACCACAGTACATCAATCTACCACCTTTCTCTGCTAATAATATGCACTTAAAAATAATATGTATCTCATAAAACTCCCAGTCATTTTCCTCTTAACAAATTTGTGCCTTGGTCACTGGCTACCGTCAAATCCACTTTGAAATCCTTTTTATTCCTTTGACTGCTTCTAAACATCAATTGATCTTGACCTGAGTTTGTGATCTCAGCCTTGACAAAGAGATAATTGCCTTTTTAACTTAAGAAATTAAAAATAAGAAAAGCATTTACAATGATCTAATTAGAACCTTGTAATGATAGATATCTTTGACTTTATTCCAATGTGTTTATATGATGTTGTGAATCATCTTGTAACTCTTTCATGACTACTTCATATTTTCTTCCTAGCTTAAAGAAAAAAGCACTCACACTTTGTCCATTGGTTTTTCTAATAAATTTTTGACTGCATTATTCCGTTTTGTTTTGGTTTTTTATTATTTTGTTCTTTGAATTGTGTTATACCACCTGAGCTACATCACAGTTCCAAAGCTGGTGTGCTGGTAGAATCTCATCACTGTGACACAGAATGTGGAAGAGCAACTTAGTGAATAATAGACCTATTTTTGCTCATGGTTTTGGTACAGTGTTGTTTGGCTTCCCGTGCTTGGCTAGAACAGCAAGGTGTCAAGAGCAAGTTGACAAGGTATTTGCACCACATAGACAGGAAGCAAGATCGAGGAGGTTTGAGGGACCTCATACAACCTTCAAAGGCAAAGGTTCAGTGACCTACTTCCTCCAACTAGGTCCCACCCCCTAAAGTTTACTGCACATATAAACAGTACCATCATCTGAGGACCAAGCATTCAGCACATGAGTCCATGGAGGGCATTTCATAGTCAAACAATAACACTTGAGCCAACCCAACATGAGTAAGTGACCTGCGTTGTGGCAGGCAGTAGGGATAGACAGAATCAAATCAAGCACCCCAGGTTGTCCAATTCTTGAGGTAAGGTAGTCACAGGTAAAGTTTCAGTTTAAGGAAATATAGCTCTGCAAGCTGGACACTGGGGAGATGGATACTTTGCTTTCTTCTCAGGCAACATCATCAGTTCTCTCATTTCCAGTCCACATTCATTAACAAAGCTCTTCCCAATTCATTACTCATACCTTGGTCACTGCCACCCACACCTTAAGACCAGCAGTGTTTTTAAGAGCCCTACTAAATGGTGTGCACTCCAGTCACACAAATGGTGAATGCCTTCAAATATGTTTGATCATCCAAGTGTTCCTGCCATGGTCCTGAGACTTTGGTGCGAATAATTGCCCTAGTAAAAGTTTACTGATGTCATAGAAATGTCCTTGTTTTTCGGGTCCTTATTCTTATATGGCTATGTGCATCACTGAGAAATAGACAGAATTTCACTTGCATTCACAGTTGGAGAGATAATTGTTTCCACGCCAAAGCTGCATTAAGGAAATATAAGAGTGACAAATCCCAGGATTCAGGGAAACAAATTACTGATGCTTCCAGCCTTTGCTCCTCCATGATCTTTGACCATGTAAGAGATCAAAAAGTACACCTGAACTATGGGAGGGAAAGAGCAATCCACTGAGAAAAATGAAAACTTTGGTTCTACGGTGAGGGAGGCTGTGAGGGAAGGAGACAGAGGAGGAGGCGCTTCTAGGAGCAATGGTAGTTAGGAGTCTGGAGCTGAAAGGGAAAACAACAGACATCTGAAAGAAAGCACAAACAATGGAGAACTTGATTATCAAATGGCTGATACTGCTATAAGAAAATGGAAATGATGAAAAGAAATAACTAAATAAATACCTTAGAGGGCAGAGATGCCATGGATGCACCATCTTCTCAGACACATGCCAGAAATGCCCTGTAGACTCTTCCAAAACAATGTTAAATGAGAGAAAGCCAGAGAGACAGTGACAGAGAGAGACAGACAGACAGACAGACAGAGACACACAGAGAGAGACAGAGACAGAGACGGAGACAGACAGACAGAGATTATTTGTAATAATAACCAGATTGTTTGTATTTTATTTCTGTTAATGGAAGCAGAAGATGGAGGTCAGAGGCTAAGCATTGAGTGGTCTTTGATGCAAACATTTTGAAGTAGATCCTACCAGCAGGAACAGTAAACTCGACTCCAGGAGTAGGAGCAATGGACCAGCCCAGATATTTTCTAGATGAACAGCATCAACACTCACTTAATATGCTCCTTCAGCCAAGTCCCAAACTTAACTTTACTCTGTTGTTCATTCCTCTTCAATCAATTCATAGTAAACTATGTATGCATTGGATGTAGTGACTTCCTGAAATTCTCCCTTTAACACACAGTAAAAATTGAACTCCTAGGTTTTGCTTATGTTTCCAAAGAGAAAATAGAAAACTCTAGGATAGCATAGATGACTTAATTTCACAAACTATAAGAGAGGCCTTAGAAAGGTCATTACAGGAAGTCATTAGAGTTCAGGCATAGCAGGACTGGAAATTTGTATTCAATTCTTGTTACCCTTGCAATGAATCACCCCCAATTTAGTAGCTTGAAATTTATTTTCTTCCAGTTCTGGAGGTCAGAAGTCAAAATTCAGTATCACTGAACTTGAATCCAAGTGCTGGATTTTTTTTGGGGGGGGGGGTGTAATTTTCTGTAAGCAATAGTTGGCATTTTTAACTTCTAGGGCTAACCACTTTCCTTGAATCATAACTTTATATTATTTTTACACTTGTCTTCCATCTCTACCTTTCTTTATCAGGAACCTGTGTTTATACTGAACACCTACAAATAGTCCAGAACAATCTCTCCCTCTTGATATTCTTAATCATGTCCTCAAAACCCCTCACCATGGAGGGTGACACAGTCGTAGAATAGGACTCAAGCATCTCTTAGGAACTGTTATTCTTCTCACAAGAAGAACCTTGATGTGTTTAGAAGTAACTTACTCATGGTAGGGAGAATAAAGAATAAAATGGTATAATGTGCCAATTTCTACTAAAATGATGTATGTCAGAATATTCCCAGAGAAATGAAGACTATTTTGAAGTTTGAATGTTAAGATTTACAAGGCTATGTACAGAGGTTCACTATCCTTGTTTACTTGTTCAGCATCCTCTCATGACTCAGAACTAGTTGTTGGGAGTGTTTTAAAAATTGATTGACAACTCCCAGAAACATGCTAACCCCCTAGTTAGCCTGTCTAACTCTCAAAGTCAAAACCTGAAAGGCCCCTCAGTCAGACACCACAGAAACCTGAGCACACCTAGAACTGGGCGTTCAATTTAAGGAACCACCCTTCCTTGTGACATTATAATGTCACTGGTGTGGTGATTGTAATTATATCATTAATTTCATTTACAGAACAAGTATTTAAGTATTTTTTTTTTTGGTTTTTTTTTTGGTTTTTTTTTTTTTTTTTTTTTTTTTTTGGTTTTTCGAGACAGGGTTTCTCTGTGTAGCTTTGCGCCTTTCCTGGGACTCACTTGGTAGCCCAGGCTGGCCTCGAACTCACAGAGATCCTCCTGGCTCTGCCTCCCGAGTGCTGGGATTAAAGGCGTGCGCCACCACCGCCTGGCCAGAACAAGTATTTTTATGTTGCAAAATTACAATGTTGTTTAATTCTTCATTTCTTGCAAAAAAAAAATATCATTAAACACAGAGATCCACGGCCTGGCACCAGGCTGAACTCTAGGAATCCAACTGATGAGAGAGAGGAGAGATACTACAGGTGAGGGACATCAAGACCATGATGGGAGGACGTGCAGAGATGACCGGCCACACTAGTGGAAGCCCATGAACTGTGGACTGGTGGCTGTGGAGCCCCCATGGGACTGGACTAGGCCCTCTAGATATGGAAGATGATTGTTTGGCTCGAACTGTTTGGGGGGCACCCAGGCAGTGGGATCGGGATCTGTCCCTGGTCTATGGGCAGGCTTCTGGAATCTGGTGCCCGTGGTGTGATACCTTGCATGGCCTTGGTGCAGTGGGAAGGGGCTTGGACCTGCCTAGGCTCAGTGTGCTGGGCTCTTCTGATTCCCCATGGGAGACCTCGATTTGAGGGATGTGGGGATGCGGGGTGGCTTGGGAAAGAGGGCTGGGGGGTAGGAGGATGGAGAAGGGGGGACCTGTGGATAGTATGTGGAGTGAGTAGAAAATTTCTTAATAAAGAAAAATGAAAACAAAATTATTAAACAAAATCAAATGAAATATTTGTTATGAATAATAGTGTATGTTGTAGACATAAGACAATGTAGGAGAAAACTACTCACTTGGAATACATACCAAAATGAAAGGTTTTATAATGGAAATTAAAACATTTAAGAAATTTAATGGTAATGAAGGCATTAGATGTCAGAACTCAGAGGATATCATAGAAATGGCATTTTGAAAGAAACCTATAGTCTTTAATTATTTATTCTACAAAAAACCTTTGAAAATAAGACATGTAGTATTCTGGTTAAAAAGTTGAGAATGAAACAAATGCAATTAGATGGAGCTGCAGAGCAATTTAAATTAAGAAATTAGGTGGCAAATTTAAAATATAAGAAATCAATAACATCCAAGATCTGTGCATATTAAAATGCTTTATAGGAAATTATCTTTCAGATAATACTGGTCTGAGAAAGAATATATTTGAATAATACTGTGACTGAATAAAGAATGACATATATTTCTGATCCTGCCCCCGACTTCCCTTCTTCACCGGGCAGGTCCCCTTCTAGCCCCACCGGGAAGGATCCCCTTCTCCAAGCCCCCCGGCAGCCCCTGCAATCTCCACGCCCTGCCCCCACGCCCATCTGCTCAAGACCCCAGCCACTTCCTGAGACTTAGAGACCGGCCCCCAGCTCCCATCCTGCCCCTGACTTCCCTTCTGGACCAGAGAGGGCTCCCATCTTGCCCTGGACTTTCCTCCTGGACAAGAGCTCACATCCTGACCTGGACTTCCCTTCTGGACAAGAGCGTACATCCTACC